ATTCGCTAATAAATTCCCTATATATGATCGGATCCATGTTCCTGTTCAACATGTACAATATCCACCAATCTCCGACGTCCGTTTTTCGCGACACGGCTTTCGCAATGTCGAACGGAATCATTCTATTTCTACGGTGCAATATGTAGGGTCTCACGCTCGGAGCCGCCAATATGACGGCTCTGTATATCAACAGAGCCGAGAGTAGAGTCGCCAATATTATGTACCAAAACCACAGGAATATGTAGGTTTTCTCGTTGACTATGTTCAACGGGAGTATGCATAGCGAGTCATGGGTTTGTATGGATCCGGAAGCACCAAATTTTTGAAACGTGCACTTGGTCACGCGGGGAAAAATGTACACCATGGGATCGAAACGATCTTCCTGGGGTTGATTGCTGAACGACATGACGCGAAGTCCGTAACTGAAAAATTCACCGTCGAAAAAATTGTTCATGAGTATGAGTTGTCCGATTATGTTGACGAGGCAAAGGGCTTCGCAAAAGAAATATCGAAGAGCGTAGAGTTTGTGTCTCTGAAATTAAACAAGAGAAAAAAAAAAAATGTAAGTTTGACGTGTATGCTCCGACGAATCTTCTGGAAACGTGCAACTCTTATCAACTTGTACGCAATGGAAATTTTGTGTCTCTGTGGTTACACATCATTCCATTGGCAACTCTTTAATGGTTTCACTCTTCTCGAGAAGAATAACAAAAAGAAATTTTTTTTGTTTGTTTGTTTGGTTGGTATTCGAAAAAATCTTGTTTCAAAATAATTTTCATTAAGTAACCAAAAAGATTACGTTAAGTGCATTTTCTCATAGTTTTTTTTATTTATTTATTTATTATGTGACAATCACGTGACGTGTGAAAATTCGAAACAAATTCTTTCTTTTCCTTCCAATCATTCAAAAAGGGAGAGAAAGACGACGGGGTTGAAATGAAAGGGGGGTGCCCTGCATGGTTTGCCTACGCCTACCTGAATTCATTACCTGATTACTGTGTGCGTATGACACAAACCACGTTTT